AGGTTGAGAGTATCTTGGCGACGTTTCGACGAGGTCCCACTCGCCTTCTTCAGGGTGGTGCCTTCAGCTTCGTGCTTGTGCGAGCAAAGCGTGATTGGAGCTCCTGTCAATATTGGTGTGTGTGTGTGTGTGTGTGTGTGTGTGTAGTGCTGGCTTTGTTGCTGTAAGTGGGTTGGTTGACTGTTGTTATATCTTGATTAGTTGATGGAGTTGATGTATGCAGATTAGTCGGCTGTAACATTCTGTGTGGCTGAGGTACTAGAGTTTGTCCATTAGTCTTTTGTGTTATAACAACCTGGGTAATGGGCTGTGTGATGACATCCTGAGCTCTAGTGTAGTGATATCCTGAGTCCTGTGCTACAACATCCTGGGAGGTTGGCTGCGTTTTAACATCCTGAGCCTTTGCGTTGTAACCTCCTAAGTTCTGTGATGTAATGTCCTGAGCAGATGGCTGTGTTGTAACATCCTGGGCTTTGGTTTGGCTCTGAGATTGTGGTCTGGCCATGTGTTCATTGTGTGTGTCAGTTTGCTTTGAAGGGGGGTGCAGCAGTTGGCAAGCAAAAAGGCAGAGGCACGAGGCCGAAGACACCTGCCTGAGGATAATGAGTGGGACCTCATCGAAACATCGCCAAGATACTCTCAATCTTACACGGGAAAAGACCTGAATACATCAAAACCTTCATACACACAAACACACACACACACACACAAACATACACATAAACTTTTTTTGTTCTGATTTTTCAGTCCTAAAACACTTACAAGCCCTCACAAAATTTATTTATTCAATTTGTATAGCCAACTGTTGTGGCCCAGCAGGATCCATTTGAGCTGCTGATGGACTCGGATAGCGAGAAACCCTATGAGTCTGCAATGGAAGATGTGGAGGACCTTGGGCAGGGTTCAGACTCAGAGCAGGGACCAGAGAGGCTGGTTGGGCACCAGGAGGTGCCTGAGGCATGGAGCAGTGGGGAAGATCAAAGGCAGTTTGTCCCTGACGCCAGACAGAGAAGGGCAGAGAAACGGAAGCAGTAGCTGCGGAGGCAGACTCATAAGAGATAATCAAGCCCAGGTTGTTGTGGCTTGGCCCCTCCTAAGAAAGTAAATAAGTGAGAACTTGGGAGGGGTCCTTTTGCAGGACACAACCGTTTGTAACAGTCTTGAGGAACTCTTGTCTGGTCTGTTTTGTATTTCCATTCTGTATGGTTTGGGTTGCTGCCAACCCTTCTAGCATGAGAGTGTTGTATGGGCTTTCAGCCAAATGAGTTGTAATTTCTCTGATTAAAGAGTGGCAAATAGCCAAGCCTGTGTCTGTGTTACTCACAGGCTGGAGGGGGAGGGGGTCAGAACAGCCAACCAACTCATTTTTATGTAAATCTTACAACCACAACAAAAATGTTAAGTGGTATCAAGGGAGTGCACTGGTGCAAGATCTACTTTTATTCCTCAAATTAATATTATTTGTATTATAACTAATTTCTTTGAAATTTTGAAGAAGGGAGACGAAGGTGAAATATATGTCTGAAACCAAATCCAAAAAGTAAATAGGAAGGATTTAAGCTATATCAAAATAAGATTTTAATGTGAAAAATGATCAGTGCATTTCATCTATAGACAAGTATATTATGATTTATTTAAGCCTATCATAAAATAATTCCTTAAAAATAAGTCCTTAGAGAAAATATTGAAACCAAATATTGGAATCCAGTAGCAAAAGAGTAGAACTTGCTGAAAACACCTACTTTTCTGTAGAAACATATTTAAGAGAGGTGGCAGTTCATAGGTGACTATTGTCATTTGTAGATGACTCAACATTTTTTCTGTAACATTTATTTGGTTGTAGGCACTTCTAATGAAACAGACCTTGTGAATTATGTAGATACGGAAGCCAACATTGCAACAGAAGTTTGCCTTTCTATACTCGATCTGTTGTGTCTTTTCACTCAGAATCATCAGGTAAAATTTTTAGTGCCAAACTTTTTACATGAAAGTCACAATGTCTATAATTTATACTAAACTGTTATTTAATGGAAGCACAAAATCAACAAGTGAAATGTTTCATATATGTAGACTGCCTATAAATGAAGCTTTCAAAATGAGTCTGATAAAGAGTAGAGTCACCTCACTGGTCCATTTAGCCTGGTACTGTCAAACATGTTTTACTACAGTCTCTAATATCCTTTTTCCACGCTATCAGTTGCCCTTTTATAGAATTTTTTTAGTATACCACATTGGGAATGATGTAGCATAGCTTTTTAGAACTGCAGACAAAAAACTACCTTAGCCTTTTTAGGATTTGCTTAGAATTGAAACCTATCTCCAAAATATGTGCTTTCCCATTAAGCTGTAAAAATAGCTTGTAGTCCTAGGTAAAAGAGATCCTAAACCATCGCCACCACCACCCTTACCAAGATAATAAGGAAGTTTTGGCAGAAGAGAGAATGATGGTCAGATGCAAAAACAAAATCATTCCAAGAAACTTTGAAAAACTTAACTAATATTTTAAAAAAACATTTAAAATGCCTGCTCATATTTAGACAACAAAGAAAAGAAAAAAGGCGCAGGAAGAGCTAATAAAAGTTCCCCACAGTTTAAATTTTAAAAAAATGAAAATATGTTTGTTACTTTTCAGAGACAACTGCAACAGTCAGATTGCCAGAATACAATGATGAAGAAAGTCTTTGATACTTACCTGTTATTTTTACAAATCAATAATTCTGCAGCAGCTCTCAAGCATGTATTTGCTGCTTTGAGATTGTTTGTGAGTAAGGTAAGACCACATATGGTTTCTCATTTGTAGGAATCCCTTCTCTTTCATCCTTCTCAGCTGGCTCTTGATAAATAACAAGCCTTTTCTGAACAGATAACTTGCAGCAAAGGGCAGAGCCATGTCTTCTATATCTAAGTTTTATGATATTTTGAGAAGAAACTGGAGTTTGGCCTGTTTGACTTCTAAGAGGAGATAATGTAATGTTCTACAGATAATTAAAAGGTCATCATCAGCAAAATTGGGTAGATTTGTTTTCTGTTTAAACTGAGGGCGATACAAGGACCAAGAGGTTGAAATTAAAAATGAGAACATTCCAGTTGAAAATTAGTAGTATAAGGAAATAAGAGGTGTTAATCAATGGTACAATCTGTATAAAACTCCTAAAAAGAGATTTTCAAATATTCATGGCCACTTACCAGATACGGTTTAATGAATTCCTGTACCTAGCTAGACAATTGAAATATATGATCTACTATCTAAAATCCCTTACAAATGACCTATTCTGGTATTAAAGTTGTATATCTAACCTGTTTGTAAAAGTGTATGATTATTGATGATTTCTACTATGGGGAATTATGCATGAGAGATATATATTGATTCTTTGTTTTTGTTTTTTAAAGTTTCCATCAGCCTTCTTCCAAGGGCAAGCTGACTTGTGTGGATCATTCTGTTATGAGATTCTTAAGTGTTGTAATCACAGATCACAGTCAACACAGATGGAAGCCTCTGCTCTGCTTTATTTTTTCATGAGAAAAAACTTTGAATTTAATAAGCAAAAGTCAATAGTAAGGTCTCATTTGCAGGTAAGAAAATATTACTGTGGTAACATCCTGGAGCAATTACTGCCTGAAATTTCTCGTGATTTTATAGTGTTGCTGCATTTATTAATTTGAGAGAGGGAACAAAGTATACTTACCAATCACAGAATGCTCTTGTCTGTTTTATTTCATTCTTACTTTAATCTTAATTTTAGATTGTTAGATGCTCAGAATGATGATGCTACCAATAATGACCATAAAAATGACAGTAATAATAATGTCTTCAAAATTTGATATTCTATAGAAATGTCTTCAGCCTCAAGATACAGAATTAGTTTGGAAATGCAATTCATAAGACAAATATTTCCCTTCGTACTGAAAGACTATTTAACAGAATGTATATATTCATTATAACTATTTATAACTAGTATTGGGACTCTTACAGGTAAAAACTGTATCTGATTTTTTTTGGAGGAAAAATAGCTCACCAAAATTTAAATTTCTTCATAGTTAATATAGAAAGATTTTAATTATTGTTACTATTTATTTTATTCTTATATTACACATATTCTTAAGAGAAGGATAAGAATGAAACAATTTGAGGAAAAGAGGAAACTGTTAAAACCTGCTATTAAGTTACTAGTTTGGTCTTTGAGCACAAACAGAGATTGAGACAACAAACACTGTCTATTTTGCTGGTGGTTCTTCTGGGAAGCAAGTTTGTCAGCTTGGTGGTCTGTCTTCATGTTCTCTTTTCTTGTCATCACTTCAGCTCATCAAGGCTGTAAGCCAACTGATTGCAGATGCAGGAATTGGAGGTTCTCGGTTTCAGCATTCTCTGGCAATTACCAATAACTTTGCGAATGGAGACAAACAGATGAAAGTAATTTATTTATTTATTTAACCTGCTTATTTATTTAGACACAGTATTTTTTTTTGCATTCTTCTTACAATGGATATTTTCCCAGTAGTGCAGTGTTTCTCAACCTTGGCAACTTGAAGATGTCCGGACTTAAACTCCCAGAATTCCCCAGCCAGCTGGCTGGGGAATTCTGGGAGTTGAAGTCCGGACATCTTCAAGTTGTCAAGGTTGAGAAACACTGCAGTAGTGACTTATAGTGGCTTTAAAAATCAGTGTGCCATCTTTGAGTTATATGAAGTTCATCCTCATTATTTCTGTATCAAAATAATAAAAGCCATAGGGGGTGGGGGAAATAAGTTACTGGGTAGCCTACCTAAATGTGGTTGGATTGTGAAGTATATTTTCCTTTGTTGCTATATCAGATGTTTTGCCATATGGAAATATAATATAATTGCTAGAAAATTGATTACAAATCAATTCATCTGTCATTCAAACCATAGTAATAATAACTCTCGCAAGACCTTTGTTATCCCAAGTTTGATATTATAAAGAAATATCTATTGCAACTTTGTTCAAACATGACAAGCGAATACTGAGAGAGAAAAAGATAATGTGCAGTGAAAGAAAAGAGAAAGCTATTTGATCATGGATAGCTAGGGAGAGGAAACAGCAAACAATTTATTATGACATTGTTCTGATGCACACAATCGTTTATTTATCAGATTATCTGACTTATTCCAAATAGATGCTATTTAACATAATAATAGAGAATTTGTGAACTTAAATTCTCTTATTTCTCTTTCCCAAAGAACAGTAACTTCCCAGCAGAAGTGAAAGACTTGACCAAACGCATCAGAACGGTTTTAATGGCTACAGCTCAAATGAAGGAACATGAGAAGGATCCAGAGATGCTTGTGGACTTACAATACAGCTTGGCAAATTCATATGCAAGTACACCTGAATTACGTAGGACCTGGTTGGAGAGCATGGCCAAAATTCATGCAAGAAATGGAGACTTATCTGAGGTAGCTCATCTGAAACTGATACATTATTTTGTATTTTAAAGAGCTTCTAATAAGCCTTAAAGAACAAGAATTCAACATCACTTTCTGTTTCAATCAATGATATGATATTTGAGGAACTCATTTAAGCAAATTGTCTCCTAAAGCAAGGTGTTTTCTACAAATTCCACCCAAATACATATTGGTGGGTTTGCATTCAAAATAGAGAACCATTTAATCAGTAGCGGAATTCAGGAAATTGTTAAATTCAGGCACTGTGTTAATTTTCAGTGTAATTGTCTTGGTATCACAATATTATAATAATAGCAATAGCACTTAGACTTATATTCCACTTTATAGTGCTTTTTACAGCCCTCTCTAAATGGTTTACATAGTCAGCATATTGCCCCCAACAATCTGGGTCCTCATTTTACTTTCCTTGGAAGGATGGAAGGCTGATTCAACCTTGAGCCGGTAAGATTTGAACTGTCAAACTGCAGCTAGCAGTCAGCTGAAGTAGCCTGCAGTACTGCATTCTAACCACTGTGCCACCTTAAACAAATGTTAAGCTCTTCCCACAATTTCTCTTTATACAGGAGCATGATTTTGTCATAATCCATCAGCAGCTTTAATGATAATGTGGACAGCAGGAAAATATGACCTAATTCTGTACAAGTTTTCTGTTTTTCATAAGAAATTGAAATCAAAATATATATAACTTGTCACTTAGTAAGTTGAATGCCGTTGTCAAAGCAGCCATGCTGACCTTCTAATGCCTAACGTTTCTTTAATTATTGGCACTTTATTCTAGGAAATTTTATAGATTCTATTAGGACATATGTAGTGTACTGAATCAAGAAGAGTGTCAGGCCTGCAGCCATGTTCCTTTTGGATCTTTGGCCTTCCACACTTCTATTATTCTACTATGCTGTTTCTATAGTGGGGAATTGAGAGGAGGGATAGTACGGAGTAGAATGTTATATAGCCAAAATAAAATTCCTTTCTAGATTGCCAAGGTCATCCTTTGTCTTGGCACCTCTGCACTTGACCGGAACTGGATGGGTGGAACTGCCAGCATGGCAATGGAAGATTGGACCGTGTGATAGACTTGTGGGTGTGGGGGGGCAAAACTTTAACTTGGGTGGGGAAAACTGATAAGCTTCAGACTCGGATTTTCTAGGTGTACCAGCATGGCTGTCTTAATAAATTGGAACTTTGAGCAGTACAACTTGTTTGGACTCCGATTTAATTTTGGATGCTATTTGGAAAGCTGATAAAGAATAGATCACAACTATACTTAATAATTCATTTTGGTTGTCTTTTTTTGTAATTGAAAGATTTTGTTTGCTATAGCTGAGCATTTTTTCTTTTTTAAGAGTACAAATTAAATTTATTTCCTGAGCATTTCAAGCCCATTCCTCTGATTTCTCTCTCTCTCTCTCCCTCCCTCCCTCCCTCTCTCTCTCTCCCTCCTTCAAGCAGCCCTTTAACACGAGTGCTTATTTTGTACCAGTTGTCCAAAATAGAAATCTTTATTACAGCCTTTAAGCCAGAAACATTATGTAGAAACTACATAATTGAGGAATCTCTGGAGACAGATACACATGAGCATATGCTCTGCTGTAAATGGGTGTTTTTATAATGCTCCCCTACAACTGCAGGTGATAGCGTTTATAACCTAGCCATGGTGAAGATATAGTGAAATCCTATAGAGAGAGATGATGGTAGCATGTGCCTATTTTAAAAATACTTACCAGTGTCTTTTTTTGCAGGCTGCTATGTGCTACATCCATATAGCTGCCCTTATTGCTGAATATCTGAAGAGAAAGGGTAAGATAAAGTACATTTAAGAGGTTTGATTGATTAGAAAACAGTAGGATGTGAAATTAAATTGCTATTTAAACAGATATTTCCCATTAAGATGGCAGAAGTAAAAGTATTTCATGTTGTAAAAATTTTGTATTTTGCCTAAAACTCAAGTTTTATATATATGTATACTATTTTTCTTTTCTTTGAGATGAGAGAGTTATTATTGTTCCATACCTTGGCTTAAATGAATAAACATGCACGTATTAACACATACAAGTAACCAAATGCTAATAACATCTCACACTACCATAGGTTACTGGAAAATGGAAAAGATTTGTACCTCTCGTCTGTTCCTGGAAGATGCTGAAATCTCTGATAATAATATCTTACTAACAACTCACCCTGGAGGAAGTGAGTGTTCTAACCATGACTATTTATGGGCTGGACAAAGTTTGAAGAACCCCATTTGTATATATTTAATGAAAGGATACTTTTAAATGGCCCATCTTAAATCTATTATACCAGTCAGCTTGGAAAATGGAATTTTCAGTTTATCCCGGTATCAGTTCCCACAATCATAAACACCTACAAAGTGCCCATTGACCGGGGGCATTGTAAACAGTGCCATTCAGATTCCAGAGACCTTGCTTGAGCACTAAGCAATTCTGTTGTTACATAATAGATTTCCAAACAGCTTCCTTTGCTATCATTATTCTTTAAAAAATAAGCTTGGGAAAGGCAATAAACTGAAGATTTTGTAACTTAAATCATATTGGGACCAAGTTTTAATAAATTATGGCTCCATATGAATCAAGTTTAATATCAATACATATTTCTAATATGTATAATCAGACTAAACGTATCCCATATTTATATGTCCTTTATTCTATTGACAGTTATTAATAAAAAAACTTTATAAGAACTTTGAGAACTCTACATATTTCAAAATCATAAATACTTTAACACATCATCCTTATCCTTTTGGGTCTCGTTGGGAGGTTCTCAAATTAAGCCTTTGGACAAGAAGAATATTTTTTTGCAAATTACCAAATTATAGTTACTAGCTATAAACTACAGTGTTTACAAGAGGTTAATGATATTGATATTATTTGTAATAAGCTGTGATATGTAATGTCTTTATTTTTTACTACAATTATTTAAATGATTGCTACTGAACCATTGATAGGACTTTTACTCTTGTTTGAAAAGGCTTGTTTTCTATGGGATGGCCAGCTTTTCTCAATATTACACCAAATATTAAAGAAGAAGGAGCAATGAAAGAAGATTCTGGAATGCAAGATACACCATACAATGAGGTTAGCAATGTCATTCTTCTTAATTGACCTTAGGTATGTTTTCTTCACAGTTTTCAGTGAGACCTATATCCGGTGGAGCATGACTAGAGTTTTAATTACCCTTATTCCTTTTTTAAGGAATTGAAATTGAAAAAAAAATACTTTATTTTACATCACAGACTTGATGTTTCTTCTTCACTTGCAGGACATCCTTGTGAAACAGCTGGAATTATGTGTTGACTATCTCTGGAAATGTGAAAGATATGAACTCATTGCTGAAGTTAACAAACCAGTTATTGCCGTATTTGAGAAACAAAGAGATTTCAAAGTATGATGAGCTAAAAATTATGGGGAAATCACACTGAGAAAAATAATATAGGATGTCAGTGCTTTAGGGACTTTTGCAATTATATTCACCTTTCAATATTATCTGCTTTTTATACTGTATATACATAATTAGATTACATACATATACTTTATATACATAATTAGATTATATACATAATCTACAATTAAACTGATTAAAATGCTGATTGTGTTGTTCATGTGTATCTTTTTAATATGAGACTGCATTATAAAAAGATGGATTTCCATCACACACAGGACAAGTAAGAAAATGTGATCTCACTTGCATACACAGTAGAAACACAAATTGATTTGCCATCTATAATTATTTATTCACCTATTTCTTTACTTTATATCCCACCTTTATTTTTTTCACAAACAACACAAGGCAGATAACATATCCAACATACCTTCCTTCTTCTATTTTCTCCATAAGAACAACCCTGTGGGGTGAACTGGGCTGAGATTCGCCCAAGATCAGCCAGCCAGCTTTCCTGATTAAGCGGGGCTTGAACCCATGGTCTTCTGCTTTCTAGCCTAGTGTCTTACGCACTAGACCAAATGTCTCTTTATATATGATTATGTATAATTCATGCTTATAATTATAAATGTATTTGAATACCTGCCTGCTAGATAATTCCTAATGGAAGACACTTAGCACTACCAATAAAAGCATTCCGTATTTATTCTGCCTTGCCTTTTTTAATCAGTATTAAAGTATTTTGTAATATGAGAAAAGATAGAAAAATCATTGAGAAAAAAAATAGTAAAATAATATAAGTGGAAGCTGATACTACATACATGTTACATTTGGAAAGTTCCTTTAATCAGTTAATTCAAAGGCTACTAGCATTATTGAGAACAAGTTGGTTACATGAGTTGGTTTGAATACCAGAGTTTTTATTTTAAAATGTACTTTCATTTTATTATTCCAGAGGCTGTCTGAATTGTACTATGACATCCATAGATCTTATCTGAAAGTCGCAGAAGTTGTGAATTCTGAAAAGCGCTTATTTGGACGATACTACCGTGTGGCATTTTATGGCCAAGTAAGTGACTAGTGTGGGGGAATTTTCAGCTAAACTACACATTTCCCAACAAATTTTCTTTTTAAAGAGCAGTATAAAACACATCCTACAAGTCAATATCCTAGGGATTAGTTGACCTGGCACGCTTTCAGTATTAAACATTTATCTATAGTAAAATTCATGGCACAAAATGTATATTTAGAGTCATATAAAAATAGAAGCAAAATATTATTGGTGACAACGGGCTGTAAAAATAGTTTTAGAGGTTTCCTCACATTTAGGTTTAAGCTTCTAGTTGCTGATTTGACAATGTTCCATTGAAGTGAATAGACATACAGTATGTGTAAATAAATATGCATTAGATTAAGACCTAAGATTATATTATGACAAATGACAAAAATTAACACTGCCCCACCCACCCCAGTTACCCCCAGTTTTAGGTAACAGTGTATATGTATGATTAGTATTTTTTTATCTTTTGCAAGAGGTTTGGTAGTAAGACACAAAGAAGGTTATCCCAACTAAAATCCCATAATACAAATTTAAAAGATATATATAACCAACATTATACTATAGCCTGGGAAGCTCACAGAAAGTTCATATTTCTTTAAAGCAGAGTTCAGAAGGAGCCTCTTCATTATAACAGCTTGTCATAGTTTGATACTGTTGACTATTAAACAGATAAAAGGAAAATGAAGATAAGACAGTGTGAATATAAATTATATGATGATATTTAAAATCATCCCTGAAAAAAAGCTACAAAATAATTGAAGACTTTTTTTTCTCCTAATTGATTTGAAATCCTTAATTTTATTAGATATTAGTTTGTGTAGACATACTAGCTTTGCTTTCTAGTTGGCTTCTGATTCTTGTAGTTCATTGTAGAATGCTTGGACGCTACTCTATATTTCCGCCTACTTATTTTGGTTATAGTATGTGCATATGCTTGCTTCCACAAGATATCAGATGGGACAGCACGTTCTTTAAAGATGGACTTTCCAGGGAAACATTCCCTCTTTTTTTAAAAGAAAAATGTATAAAATCAGTTCTAAATAATGTTGTCTGCCAATTAGGTTTTAATGCAGAAATTTGCTCTTTTCCTCTTTTGAACTTATTCAAGGCTGTGGTAAGTTGTCTATTCTTTTGCATGCAGTTTTGTTTAATTCTTCTTACATCATCCAACTTGTATGACCCTTGGTTAACCTTGATTTCTACCTTTTTTTTAATATTCACTGTGAACAATGAAATAACATTGCTTTCACTCATTTATATACCGTGCTGCATCTAGCAAAATAATGTTTTTGTTCTGCTTCCTTGAATTATAAAGATGTATCTGTTCCTGTGGCGTTCATGTACTTGAGGCTTAAATCTGTTCCCATTTCTAATGGAAGCAGGTTCAGCTATGTGTTTCTTATCTGAAATGCCCACTGCAAACAGCCTTGCTGCATATGTCCTGGCAGAACAAGCAAGGTTTTCCAAAGTGTGAGGTGCACCTCTCTTGGCAAAGTGCATGGGAGGAGAACCTTTTTGTTGTACGCTGTTACAATACATTCACCTTCCCCAAAATTTAATTGTATTATTCTAATTGCTCATTTGTCTCCATTTTGGTGATTGGGTTTCTTAGGGAAGGTCTGTACCTTAAGACTACACGGGCAGGTGTAATGGCAAGAAGTGTAGGAACTCCTGCATTATACATTATATTTGCTTTCAGTTACAGTAAAAGTCTACACTTGCCTGGTAGTTTTGCCCTTGTTTACTACTTTGAGTTTTACGTTACTCAAAAAAATGCCAATCTTTGTAATGTAGCTTTCATCAACATGAAGCCTTTCAGATGATTGGACCATGTAGGCTGGCAAGTATCAAGTTGTGGAAAACAAATAGAATGACACTACATAAAGCAATTTGTATTTCCTTGCAACTAAATATGAAGATATATTCATATGTAGATAGACAGCCTAGTTCTTGTGGGCACCAGTAGCTCTCCCACACACTTTAGTATATTATCTTTCTTCAGAATTGAAATATGTTACTTCATAGTGGTTACTTAAAAATCATGTTACTTTGAAATCAACTTGAATGTGTTGACAACTTTTGTTCAATTAGTATTTTTTTCCTTGATCTGTGTATTGCAATATAATATATTAAGAGTTGAAAATGATCTGAAAGAACCTACATTTTTTTATATTAAGTCAGGTGCTTCAAACTTGCAGCCAATGTCCCACCAGATCTGGCATGCTCCAGGTCCCTCCATGAGACAGTGTTACTTGTTGACTCCTAGGAAGCTAGGAAGTATGTCTTCATAATACTAAATAGTTTTCAGCAACACCTTCCTGTGACAATTTAGTTTGACAACACTGTCCCAGATAATTGAATCTTGCGTATAAGTAATTTCACCTTGTTTTGAAAAACAATCAATCAATCAGAATAGAGCTGGAAGGGACCTTGGAGGTCTTCTAATCTAGCCCCCTGCTTAAACTGGAGACCTTATACCATTTCAGACAAGTGATTATCCAATCTCTTCTTTAAAATCTCCAGAGATGAAGCACCTGCAACTTCTGAAGACAAGCTGTTCCACTGGTTAATTCCACCATCAAGAGAGCTAAACCTTTTTAATAATCTGCATTTTACTAGCCCCAAGCATATGATTGATAATTCATTACTTACTATATCTTATAAGAAGCAAATATCTTTCACAACATGTCACAGTGGAATCTTTTACATAAAGATGCAGAACTGGTATTATGTGACCTACTTAATATTTAGGACACATGAGCAGCATTTGCCTTTATATGAAACTAATCCTTTCCAAGGAAAAATAGTTCAATGAAAAGAGAATAGAAGACTGCAATTTCATGGTTCATTAAAATACTGCTGAAATCCAAAATTGTAAATGAGAATTACAGGGATTCTCAAAGAAACTATGTTAAATTCCATGAAGAAAGGACAAACACAGGACTACATCAAATTAAATGAAAGCAATACAATTGTTTTAAGCCTAAGGATGTTGTGAACATTGTGTTGTTTCACAACGCTCCTGTTTTTAAAGCTACCTCAAATGTCTGGCTACTAGTAAAGATAGAAAGCATGAATTGTTTTATGATGAAAAGAATTATGAAAATGAATAGAATTTTTAAAAATATAGGGATTCTTTCGTATAAACTAAAATGAGTTTATAGGAAGAAGAACACAGTAGTTATGTAGCATTCCTTGTCAATACCATTGGGGCAATTGTAAATTGACTTTGACTTTGACAATATAGAGATAATGATTTGAATGCTTAAAAGTATCAAATTTTGTTATTAAATAGGGACCATATTGGCAAAAACGACCGTATTGTATTCTCCTCCTACATTACCATCAAATTGAATTAATATTCCTCCATCTCCTAATTTTGCATATGTTGATTTGAGTCTAGAATTATTTTTCATATATTCAAAAAAGCTTCAGCTGCAGATGGGAAGGGGAAGGGGAAGCAATCTTCACTAGCTCCCCTGTTTCATGTTATTTTAAGACTTTCCTCAGTTTTCCGCATGCATTTTGAGAGAATTGTTGAGTAAAAGAAAAATCAGTGAAAATTATCTTCCAGCTCTAGGAATATTCTAAGGACATATTTGTAGTTTGTTATCTATGTACTTGAATAAAATCAATAGTACTAAAGATTATTAAGTATGAATCTGGTAAAGATCCTTTGGCAAGATATTTCAGAACTAGGTTCTATGTGTCGTTAGCTTGACCATTTGGTGGACACTGCTCTTCCTGTGTTGGTGAGATCTTCAAAGAGGCAATTGTGTCAGTGCAATGTACATGCATCCTTTGGTGCAGGGACGATGCCATCTGCCTTTATATGTCTAAATTTTGTTTCATAGGAACAGGTTCAGCATCATGACTTCAAAGTGCTAAGGGTGACAAAGAGAATGAGAAAGAGAAACAGTTTGGTGTAAGTCAGTGATGGCTAACCTTTTTCTAAAGGTGTGCCAAAACTGTGTGCATGTGCGCTTTTGCACATGCACGCATGCCACCCACCTGCACATGTGCAAGTGACCTCCACCTGCACATGTGCCAATGACCCCCTACTGTACATGTGCAAGTGACCCCCACCGCGCATGTGCAAGCGACCCACCACCATGCATGCATGAGCAACCTCTCCTGCGCATGCGTGAGTGAGCTCCGCACAGGGGAATTTTTGCCCTCCCCAGGCTCTGGAGGCTTTCCTGAAGCCTGGGAAGGGTGATAACAGATTCCCCTGGCCTGCCGGCCTCTGGGGAGTCTGGGGAGGTTGTTTTCACCCTCCCATGGCTTCAGAAAAGCCTGGGAAGGGCGAAAACAGGCACAATGGACCAACGGGAAGTTTGGAAACAAACTACCGGTTGACCTGTTGGACCTGTTTTTCATCCTCTCTAGGATATAGAGGCTTTCCTGAAGCCTGGGGAGGGCGAAAATGGCCTCCCCCTGCCCTCCGGAAGGCTGAAAATCAGTTGGCCAGCGCGTGTATGCATGCTAGAGCTGAGGGCTACCGAGGGTTGCTATGCCGGCAAATATGGCTCCGTGTGCCATCCTTAGGTTCACCATCACAGGTGAAGTGGTTAAGGCATCTGACTAGAAACTGAGAGGCTATAAGTTCTAGTTTTGCCTTAGGTAGAAAACCAGCTGCGTGACCTTGAGCCAGTCACTGTCTCAGCCCTAGAAAGGAGGCAATGGCAAACCATTTCTGAAATCTTGTCAAGAAAACTTCAGTATTGACTTGCGTACACAAAAGAGAAGGAAGCAATTTATAAAAATGCAAATGGAAAATGATTAATATATGGGCCATTATTTATCATTTATGAATAAATGAATCTTTGTAGTTGAGCTAAAAAAAATTAGCAGCCAGAAGTGTTTTCTAAAATAAGGAACAATTGTTTTTAATTATAATTTATCGTAACCTAGTAAGATATTGGACTCAGCTGATCATTTCCTATCCTACTCCATGCTTCTGACTCCTCATATCATTAAGTAATAACAGTGATTGGGCCAAACCTTTTGTAACATGGGGCCTCTGAATGCAGAAATGTGATAAAGTGGTCTGTGACAAAAGCTCAAAAACAGTAGCATGGCTGGCATCCTCCCAGTGCAACAGCAGATAAGCAACCACCTTGCACCATCATTCTCTTCCTATGCAGCCTGAAATGTCCTCAACAGAGTTGGCAAGGGAGCAGAAAGTTCAGTGGGCTGGCACTGGGCTTCTCTTCAGTTAATAATGTCCCTTCCTTTGGAAGTTCCACCATTCATCATGCATCCCAGGAAAGACACCCCAGAGTTCTAGAGCAATTCATACAAAATGAATAAAAACACTACTTTCCCGATTTTAATAAAAATAACAACAGCAGCACTGACAAGTAATTTTCATTAACTAGACTAAACCAGATAAATAACACCCCATGTGTACAATTAAATATGAAAATTATGTATTCTAATTTAATTGTCATTTCCCATTACAAAAAGGGAGTACGAATTCTAGAATTACCTCTTTATCAGAAACATTTCTCGCTTGTTTAAGTCATTTTGAAACTGTCTAAGGGTTCTTTGATAGCATTGTTGTATTACATAAGCTCAGAATGACATCCATGGTAATATAAATATGAAAGAATATATATGTATACATGAATCGTAGCCAAAATATGCATATGCAACAAAACTCCATAAAGTACTGGATTCAATAGTTCATACAAAGAATAATAGTTCTTACATGAGTGATGTGTTTATAGATTGGAACCTATTATGCAGTTTGTTATTTTAAAAAGGCACGATGCTAAAAGCTATATCTTAAAAAGAATTAGTACTCCCTATTGGTCTAGCTGACTAACAAACAAATTTTGTATAATTTTTTCAGAAGCAGGCAGGCCTCTTCTGAGAAACAGCTTTCTGCTTAATAAAAATAAATTAACTTTAGTTCCCCAGAATCAACTAACAAGTAAATACATAGGCTTCAAAAGTTAATGTATTATTTTAATTGCAAAGGTGTCCGATTCTCCACATACTTACAATTGTAGTTTTGACTGCAGTTGTGTTTTTATAAAGAAAGAAGCAAGAAACCACCAATTTTCATTATCCTTACTCTATTGTACCACATGGTGGCATACTTGCTACAAAATATGGGTTATAAGTATGTAATATAAAACTCCAAGGATGTTTTCAGTCTCATTTCACACAGGCTTTTTTCTCCCTATTATTAAAAGTTGATATTCATCCTGTGCAAATGTAGGAGTTTGGTTTTTAAATGCATTCCATCTCTTCATCATGTGTAAGCTGCAGCATTCAAAAAAATATTTTTGTTTATACTTAACAGTCGAGTACCTTACATTTTTCATCCACAGTATGGTCCTGAAGTGTTTTTATTATACTAAGTTTACTGTAATTGTTATGATTTATCTTTTAATCAGGGCTTTTTTGAAGAGGAAGAGGGTAAGGAATATATTTACAAAGAGCCCAAATTAACAGGCCTCTCTGAAATCTCTCAGCGACTGATGAAACTTTATGCGGACAAGTTTGGAGCAGACAATGTGAAGATAATCCAAGATTCCAATAAGGTATGGTTGAAAATGTCCACAGATATTATTTTTAAAGCATTTGTGCTGTTGCACAGTTTTTTTGTCCATGCCCTCTTAAAACAAATGAAACCATAATGAGCCATGCTCACCGCATAAATTCAATTAATCTCAAAGCACGAATAACTTGGAACCAATGAAGTAAAAAAAATGAAGAGGAATATGGATCTGGCAAGGCATAACCTCTGCTGCGCCATGTAATTATGTATATTCATCTCTCTGATCAGAAGAGTTAGAATAAGGCCCTTGATAGTAATATAAACATTTGTTACATGCTGTGATGTGTAAAATTATGTACATTCATTTCACTGCTATTAATTGATTAGAAGTGGAGGGTCCTGGTAGGCATGCTTTTTGTGGGGAGGGGGATTTCAAATTTTCATATTATGGAATTGCCAGCAACAAGGGCTTTCTTAGAAATCTGTAAAGCTGTTTTGTTTGTCTTAGAAAATATTTTTGCTCCTTTTATGCTCAAAACATCTGAATACAAAATACACTACCATCCTGTCCAAAGCAAAGACATTTATGAATAATATTCTCTTTTAAAATGTTTAAACATATTTTCAGTAATATGCCATAAAAAGCAAGTGTTTGGTTTCTTTTCTTGTCCTTCTGCTGTCTCTAACTGATGCATTGTCTTCCTTTTTGTTTGTGTAGGTTAACCCCAAAGACCTAGATCCTAAATATGCATATATCCAAGTAACCTATGTCACGCCCTTCTTTGAAGAGAAAGAAGCTGACGAACGCAAGACTGACTTTGAAATGCATCACAATATCAACCACTTTGTGTTTGAAACGCCATTCACCTTGTCAGGAAAGAAACACGGGGGCGTAGAAGAGCAATGCAAAAGACGGACAATTCTGACAAGTATGAGCACTGAATTCTTCTTCACAGCAGGGCTGGGCAATTTCTCGGGGATGTTGGGCCACTTCTCATCCCCTTTTTATTTTCAAAATTTTCAGGTACTCAACAATAATCAACACTGACCTGAAGGGGCACAAAAAAAGGGAAAGGGCAGAAATTATTACTATTTCTTCAATCAGTAAAGTCAATCCAATTGATTCAGCATAGCAATTAGTTATTTATTGTTTACAAAAATTTTTACAGATATTTTGTAACACATTGCTAATTATCTAAATGCCAGTGGATATGCTTCAAAATATTTTGATTTAGAATAGAATCTCATATATTTATAACTATGTTTATGGAGCATTTTTCCAATAATATTTATTTATATTTACAAATTATTAAAATAATATTAAAATTATTACTGAAGCAAGATCTTTCTTGTTACTTATTTATACCTGATTTATTCATTATATACCTTATGCTTCTACCACAAATACAACTGAGGTAACATGAAAAATAGTATTCACAAAGTAAGAATGAATATCCACAAAATAAGAATAGGTATATTCTTACACCTATTCTGGAATTTGATTAACAGAAGCAAATAATTCTTTTACAATCTTTTAGAAAAATATAAATATACACTTACATACATGAACACACCCACACATACTGTAGATACATACATACAAAGAATGAGAGAATGGAACTATTCATGGATGTATTGTATGAATTATGGCTTTGTTTTAATTATGAATATATATTACAATAAATAAACCTTCCTTAGATGTATTTATCTTGTTTTTGACTGCAGCTAGCCATTTATTTCCATACGTGAAGAAAAGAATACAAGTTATAAACCAGACCAGCACAGAACTGAACCCCATAGAAGTAGCTATTGATGAGATGTCCAAAAAAATTTCAGAACTCAAACAACTTTGTACAATGGAAGAGGTAGATATGATTCGACTCCAGCTGAAGCTACAAGGAAGCGTCAGTGTTAAGGTAAATATGGTTCAGCCTTTTTCTCAGGTTTAGAAGATTTGACATTTAGGATTTTATAATAGGAAACAGAATCTTTCTCTTCTGTTGTTACAACCCGACCTGCTGGAAATTCAAAAGAAGCATTATAACATTAATTAATTCATTGCATAATTTTATTAATTTTACAATGCTTATTCTTTTGAATCTGAGATTTAGTTCCCTTTTCCTAACACCCTTGCTAGGTTTGCCAAAGGGTAGAACGGGAGTGCAGTACTGATATGAGCATCATTATCCCTCTCCCAGAAAGATTGATGCTTCTGCCTTAGGATTCAGCTACCTCCACTGCATCCCCTTCCACAGAGAATAAGTTTTTGATGCCTGCTACAGGTTGTATATCATTATGCGAGAGTCAACATCAAAAAAAAAATGCTTTCTTTTCAGATAAGTCTGAAAGCAGTGGAGCAGTGGAAAATACTGTATATCTTAGAGGAAAAGTAAAGACAAATACTGATAACATTGTGTGAGACTCAGAAGAACAAAATTAAAGGCTATGTTAATAATTAGAGTTTTTAAGAGTTATCTAGCTTCATTTCAATTTAACTTTTATTTGGATAGCTGCAATTTAGTATACTACACTGTTTTCATATTTAATTTTATCTATTGTGCTTTTAGTGTGATAATATTTTGATTTCATGCAGTGAACTTAAGTTGGCTACCCTTTAGTTACTTCCCACAGTTTGAGAGCCATATTGTTTGTTTTTACAGCATGTTAGGGTTTGGGCTCCAGTTTAGGAGATTTATTTAAGTTGTTTTAAAGAATGAAATGGGTGCCTTAATATTGGCACCAAACATTTTGATCACCCAATCTTGGGAACATTCCGATAACCACTAAAGGTGTGCTAGCAAACCTTCCATTTAGCATATCTGATCTTCAAATGTTTCCTTTCCATAATTTATTTGTAATTTAGAAAACTCTTCAGCAATGGCCAGGGGTGAGAGTCTGCCAGTTCTAACCTCTTCTATAGAAGAGGTTCCAATCTACAGTGTTGTTTAGAACCATTCCAGCTCCCTCCCCCTGCCCGTCTGCACATCATCAAGATGAAGAGCGAGAGGAGGAATTCTGGGAGTCGAAGTCCACAAGTCTTAAAGCTGTCAAGTTTGAACACCCCTGGGGGTTTTTTTCTAAAGGGTTAGGGGTGCAAGGGTCTTGTAACTTGACAACTTTAAGACTTGCGTGCTTCAAATGCCAGAATTTCTGAGCCAACATTTTGGTTGCTAAGCAAGAGCGTTGTTAAGTGAGTTTCACCACATTTTACAAGTTGGCCATGCCCATCCAGTCACATGACTGCCAAGCCACTCCCACCCAGTCACATGGCTGGCAAGCCACTTCCACAAAGCAGGCCACACCTACAGAAGAGGTTCTAAAAAAAATTGAAACCCACCACTGGCAATGGGTGAACAAGATCAGGACTTCAGGCACTGACAGAAGAAAAAATTGTTTTAAGCTGCCTTTGCCAGTACTGACCTCAGCCCTCAATATAAAATAGCACACTTTGACTTGCAGGTAAATGCAGGACCAATGGCTTATGCTCGAGCATTTCTTGAAGAAACCAATGCTAAGAAATACCCAGATAACCAAGTTAAACTTCTGAAAGAAATATTCAGGTAAGTGTTATAATATATTAGAGAGATGAGAGAGAGGGGGGGGTGGGAGGGAGAGAGAGAGAGAGAGAGATGTAAAGAAAGAGAGAGATGGAAATAGATATAGAAATAAACAAATACAATGATAACTGGTCTTGTTTAGTCTAACAAAACATCAGGGGGCAAATACAGAATTCTACAAAAAATCTAAACTATCTTTCTGTGTCCATTATGACTACACCATTTTAATCCATAATAAAATCAAAGTGCTATTTTATGTTTGAAACAATAACACTTTGCCTTGACATTAAAGCTTTGAGATTTTTTGTGCTATGCAGAAAATTTGCAGAAGCATGTGGACAAGCTCTTGAAGTTAATGAACGCCTTATTAAGGAGGATCAGCTGGAATATCAGGAAGAAATGAAATCTCATTACAAGAATATGCTCAGTGAGCTCTCAGAGATTATGAATGAACAGGTTAGCCATTCTCTTTCAACATTTTCTTTTCAGCTCCAAAGACATTAGGGTTGTCACACAAACAATGCTTAAATCCTAACTGGGGAGCCACCTTGGGAAATTAGAAAAAAAAAACCTAAAAAAGGTTCCTAATTTCCAAAATTCTTTTCTTGGTCTAAAGCAGGGGTGTCAAACTCGATTTCTTGCTGGCCACATCAGGGTAGTGTTTCACCGTGGGGGACCAGGGGGCTTGGCCAGGAGGGTATGGCCAGCTCGACATCTGTTTTCAGCAGAGACTGCCTCCTGTATACCTCTGCCAGGGAAAATGGAGCACATGGGGGCACATATCCTCCATTTTTGCCGGCAGAGGCCTGCAGGAAACAGTCATAGCGAAAAACGAAGCTCAGAATGACCACATGAGGCTCTCCCAAGCTCCATTTTTACTGGAAGAGGCACTGCAGGCCAGTCCTTCGCTGTTTGCAGAATGGCCCCGCGGGCCAGATCTAAGTATCCTGCCAGCTGGATCCGGCCCATGGGTCTTGAGTTTGACACCCTTGGTCTAAAGGATATTCTCATTTCAAATACTCCCATCTATTTTACCTTCCTTCATCTGCTAATGCATATTTATTCCTTCCTGTTTGGATTTCTATCATTGAAGAGTAACACTAATCAGAAGAAAAATCTATCATTCTTACTAATTCTTATAATCTATAGAGGTTGATCCTTCCTTCCTTCCTTCCTTCCTTCTTAAAGCATACAGTGACTTTTTTTAGGCCAATCATTCAGTGAAAGGTTTAACAATATAAGGATATACTGGGATTTGATGAGCTATTGAATATATTTTGATCTTTGTCCATACGGTATATGAAAAGTAGAAGCAGATTACATTGGAATCAATGTACACAGGATAACATCAAATTGGATCCTGGTCTGTTATTAAATCTAGAAGTAAGAATAAGTTATAATGTACAAAAAAAATCCAGAAAATATTACTCATGGATAAACTTCCTTTTTCTTCTGTCAGAAGCTGTATATGACACCATATACCTACACAGGGAGAGGTAATAAATTTAGGCAAAGGGAAATCCACTCTCAAGAGCAAAATGGAAGAGATTTCCTTGATTCTTTACACTTTGAGCAGACACCACAGTTATTCTATTTATTTACTTATTAATTAGACTTATATACCGCTTCATAGGGCTTTCAGCCCTCTCTAAGCGGTTTACAAATTTTTTTAGCAAATTGAGTCAGCAACTTGCCCCCACAGTCCGGGTCCTCATTTCACCCACCTCGGAAGGATGGAAGGCTGAGTCGACCTTGAGCCGGTGAGATTTGAACCGCTGAACTGCAGATCACAGTCAGCTAAAGTGGCCTGCAGTACTGCACCCTAACCACTGCGCCACCTCGCTCATATTCTATCCTGGCATATCATGGGTGTTAGGCTTTTCCCCTTCCCAATCATATATGCCAAACACAGATGGATGACAGGATGAAGCTAAGCCTGTGAAAACAATTGGGAACTCACTATCAGGAGATCCTGTTATACATTCAAGTTTAAAAAAAAAAAAAACCTGCTTGGGCAGAAAATCCCATATTGGGAACAAGACTGGATGAATAATATTTTATATCTTATATTTTATAGGCTTATATCTTGATTCCTACATAGGTTAATCAATTAGGATGTTACTGTTTCCTTATCAATCCTATGTTTTGTTGCTGTTGTCACTGTTTCATTGGGTTCCACTAAGTCCTGTTTCACACCTCTCCATCTATATAAACCATAAAAAAACTGTGTTGCTGTTTAATTTATCCCTATTCGTCAAGCAGGACCCCAGGAGGACTAATGGACTTTCTGTGACTTCTGAGAAGTTAATGCTTCCTACCCCATTCAATTCAGAGACGATAGTATAAGAGTTCTGTAATTACAGCCCTCCATAGTTAGTCACCTCCAGAGCCTTGCAAGTTTCCTGTTGTGTTTTTACCATATCCACACAGATTGTGTCACTGGGTCCTTAATGGTATTTTATGTACAGGCCTTGAAATCCTATGTGTTCTTCATTACTGTTGTGTTTCTACGTCCACTGACTGTGGCATTTCCATCAACATATTTCTTTCTCTTTTTCTGGCAGCTCTGTCATGGACAGTGCTTATACAACTTTTCTGCTTCACTGTCTAACATTTCCCTCAATACCATAGCCAAAAGTGGTATGTCTGGTTTCCTTTTTGCTCTCTGTTCTTTTACTGTCATGTATTCTCACCAACTGCTCTTTTAACATTTAATAAGGAGGCATCTCACTGGTGATGCTTAGCAGAACAATGGGCATTAGTCATTCTTTTGGGAAGCATGAAATATAATACAGGGTCAGGGAGAACTGTAATAATATGCCAGGCATTCTTGTCTAGGACTTCATGGACTAATAGCCACAGTCCATTTCTGATGTTCATTTTTAATAGAAACACTTAAGTTTCATAAGAGTCCTATTTAGGCATGATATTTCTTCTTCAGCACTTGCAGTGGGGTTTCATGCCTGGAGTAGAATTTTCCCTGGGGCCTTCTGAGCAGATGGGCATGATGTACTGTATGTATCTCCAGTACTGATGTAGGAGTCAATGTTTAAGTAAATGTTTAAATACATTCATGCTTTATGTTTAGACACTAGAAAGAGCTGCTTGATTCATATGGGGTGTAGGTGTAAACTATTTATTATTGCCACTTGCAGCTAAATGTTAAATGCAGCAAGTAAATAGGTGATACACTGTTTATTTATGATGTTCATAGCCAGCAGGGCTAAATTCATACACGTATGTACTTCATAAAAGTGTCAAAATATACTCTCATAGATATGTTACACAATTGGAGGCTAAACAAGAAAGTCTTTTTTTTAAGGTGGAATCCTGTTGGGGGGATATCGAAACACAAAACAAAATCTTTCTTTCATATGGCAGCTGTTAAAAACCTTAACAGGATAGATAAAAACAGCTGACCAAGTTGGTTCCTAAAAGTGTAGTTTAGAGCACAGGTGTCAAACTCGCGCTGTCACGTTGCCATCACATGAGGTATCGCGATGTTTTTTCCCTTTGCGGAATTGGGATGGGCATGGCCTGCACGTGACGCATCCGGCCCATAGGCTGCCAGTTTGACACCCCTGGTTTAGAATGAGCTTAATTTTTCCACATGTTTACTTATTTACTCAGGATCACTTATTTCTTTATGTATGTATCTGTTTTAAAGATCATTTACAAGGAGGATTCTGCAAAGCATCCAGGAGTGGAAACACCTTATTCCCATGCAATCAGTAGAACAATCACTGCCCCACCTGGATCACTGCTTTCATCAAATGCAGATATTTCATAACTGCCTTTGATTATGAACTGGAGAATTTTGGCGTTATTTTGCAAAACAATGTAGGCAAATCCTGGAGGATACCATAATTGTATTACATTATTATTTTTTATTTATTGAACAATTTTATGTGTCAATTTTTTAAAAAGTCAATTTGATTTTTTTTTCAATGTTATTGCTTTTCTTGATATTTGCACATTTCCTATGATTTTCTTTATTATGGGCCAGTCTTTAGTAAATAGACTGAGTTGAAATATCCATTGAATATTTAGTTTAACAGCAAACCTTACGTTGGCTATAAATAATGATATAATCTAATACAGGTCCTAGTATACATATATTTTAAAAGTCAAAAGTGGATGTTTTATAACATTTAAGTATATTAAAGTTGTAAATAAAAGATGTGTAAAATATGTCATTTTTACAAAAAAAATAGTTAATATCTGACATGACTAAAATGTCAATAACATTTCAGATGTGGCTATATTAAAATATTTGTTTATGTGTATAAAATTGTGGGTGTTTGTGTGTGTGTTATTTGCTAAATCATTTGGCCTTGATGCGGGTGTTTAATTTTAATCACCACTTTTACTACTACCATTGCTTCAAGATGTTCTCACATAGCTGGTGATGTGTTTGAAATCATGTTTTTTCCAAGAAGCTGTACATTTTCTACTAACGGAAATAGAGATGGGGGACTTTAATGGTTGCGATTTAATTGACTCAGACATATCACTTCTGAAGTAAAAGGCTGAAATACAGAGAACCAAATCACTCTTTTCCGACAGCATAGAATCTAACTCCAATTTTCATTTTTTCTGTTTTAACTTCTTCAGAATTTCTCCAAACAGAAGGAACAAGATACTATGGCATCATACATTTAAATATAGCATATAATACAGTACACACGTTCATCTCTTACCACTCTTTATGGCAGTGTTTCTCAATCTTGGCAACTTGAAAATGTCTGGACTTCAACTCCCAGAATTCCCCAGCCAGCATTCGCTGGCTGGGGAATTCTGGGAGTTGAAGTCCGGACATCTTCAAGTTACCAAGGTTGAGAAACACTGCTTTATGGGATATATATGTTAAATCCTTTGTGATAACTGGTAATAGTTCAGATATACAGTAGATCAGTCCCATTCCAGTTTCTTTTCCTATTTGTATTGTGACATCATGAACTTGCTTAATGCTGTCATAGAGCATTGTTTTATCTTTTATTAAACAATGTTTTATCTTATATAATACAATATACATGGTGAAGTGCTTACTTGACAGGAAATCAGCTTGTATGTCACATTATCTTGAGCTATATGACCAGATAAAAGATGGATGCATCTAGTTTTTATGCTGGTGCGGAAAAACTCTGTTTATTAATAAATAAATGGGGAAGAAGGGGAGAGAAAGGCTGATTCTAAAAAGAAATGTCCTGCAAAAAAAGTATTTTTTTTGTTGGTTTTTTGTTGGTTATTACCTTTAAAGCCCTACATGGCTTAGGACCAGCATAGCTGCGAGACCGCCTACTGCCACACTCCTCCCAGCGGCCGGTAAGATCCCACAGGGTTGGCCTCCTTCAGATGCCGTCAGCCAGACAATGTCGGCTGGCGGCTCCCCGGAGGAGAGCCTTCTCTGTGGCTGCTCCGACCCTTTGGAACGAACTACCCCCAGAAATTCGGACTTCACCCACTCTCATGGCCTTAGAAAAGCTGTCAAGACCTGGCTTTTCCGGCAGGCCTGGGGCTGTTGACCTCATTGTTGAGGTCCAGCTCCAATTGAAATGAATGTATCTGTTTCGTTTTAACGTCTTATTGTATTTTTACTTTCTTTTATTTTCTTTCTTTTCCCTTCTGTAAGCTGCCCAGAGTCCTTCAGGATTGGATAGCCTATAAATAAAATTAAACTTACAAACTTACTTTAAAAAAAAGACCTAGTGGAATTATAATTATAGCATCTCTACTACTGGGGAAAATGTAACAAAAAACACCTATGTGTCTGGTTTAATTTGTTATATTGGCAGGCTAGTAACACTCTATTGTTTCACAGTATTTTTCTTGCCAACTTATTGAATTACTAGTTTAATTCCAGCCAGCATTACTTACACATTAGGAATAAAATCTTTTCATCATTATTACCCTTTTCATTGAAGCCATAGAGTGTTTTGTCAAAAATTGTGACATAATTGATTAATCTTAAGTAGCAAAATAAGTTATGTTGGTGGAATCAATTCCAGATGTTTGAAATTTATTTTTTACCGTTATAAGTGGAAGGGGTTTTTTCCCCCTCTAATACTGGTAGCATGCCAAGAAGATATAGGTTCTTGACTCGAATCAAATTTTCCCTAATCCCTTTCCAGTACAGACTAAGAATGAACACATAATTCCATTGAATTTAAGAGGATTTGTTTCTGAATAAGTATGAAAATTAAGTACATATCAGCAAATAAAAAGACATAGATAACAAGTACTGGTTTCAAAAGCTCATGTGGCGTGCCACATTTGAATTCTTAGCTATGGCCCAAAAGTGGACCTTTCTTTGCATATTGAATTTACCTATCTCTGCCAGGTAGTTCCCCATACTTCAGGCTGCTAATTTGCAACTCATATGTGTTAAGGTATAATTCAGTCTATTAAACTATAGAAGAGTTTATCTCATTTTGAAGTGCTTCTGCAATTGATAGTTCAATTACATGATAGCGTACCCTTGGGAGACCCAAGAAAGAACTGTAGCCAGGGCAATGGTCAGACAAGAGATATCTCAATCCACAAAAGAAATGGGGTTGAAGAAAGTATCTCAGAAGAGACCTTCTCTAGTACTCTGGAAAATAAAAGCAAAGGAGGGGGAACTCCTTTCAGATTTGCAAGATATGTTACTGTAACTGTACAATAAAGGTGGTGCTAGTTCTTATGATTTGATTTCCTATCTCGACTACCTTGATGGGCTGATAGCCTCTGGAGATCCAAGACTTCGGAATATGTGATAAGTAACTTCAGTTATAAAACTAATTCAGACAATCCCACAAACTGTGCTCTTTCACTTTTTACTGTATCTCAGACAATAACAATTAATGATAATTGCAATCAAACCAGTCAATTTATAAAAGCTGTTGTTGCAAGCATGATATTTTTTCATTAAGTTCACATTTTGGATCTAGGTGTATCTACAACAATGTTGTACTGATGAGAAATTCTGTCACACTCTAACTTGATTAATGATTGTTTTGTTCAAACACATTTCTATTAATCAAGAATCTCTTGTATCAGGGAATACTTATATTTTCTGCAGCAATACTGAATAGATTTTTAGTACCTGTATAGAATTAAACAGCAGGCACAAGAAATCAGATCCACATGTGCAAAGGTAAAGGTAACTATTTTATTGTATAATGCCTGTAATACAGGAATTTCTCCAGACTGTTTGCCTTCCCATGGGAACAGATAAATAAGTTTTCATTGAACTGGGGGAGGGATGGGGGGGGGGAGAGATCAGTCCTGGGTTTCTTGTGACTGCAAAATGATTCAAAGCTAATTCCACATTGAGTCCTCCCTCTGCCTGGCCAACATTAAAGGACCTGCTTTGAAGTGTAGATTTGTATTGGGAGAACAAGACATCTAATAGATGTATGTGGGAATATACAGTCTTTCAGGGAAGAGGGCTTGGTAAACCGTTTATTATATTTGCTCTACTTTAATTGATAATAAAAATAAATTTAAATAAAATTTGATTGAAATGATTACAAGGGTGATAAAATGTTTCATAACACATGGGAGTTTGTAAACATCAAGTCTTAACTTTTCTAAAATGAGCAGTTAGCACAGTCTACTAATTATTCATTTTAAAAAGTAGACCTAAAATATTTTACATCAACCTTTCATGATGTAAGCCTAAACCATGTCAGGTAACACATATCATAAAACAATCAGAACTCTATTTCTGGATTTTGAAAGCTTCGCCAGGTCTTCCTCCCTCCCTCCTTCTTATACCAAAGAAGTCAATTCAAAGAAGTCAATTCCAGAAGGGTTCTTCCTCAGATTGTCCTGTCTTTCTAGGCTAAACTGATTTTTAAACAAATATCTGTTGCCTACCTACTTCAAGACTATCTCCATACACCTCTACATTTGATTTTAGCGAAGTGTTTGTCAAGGTAATGCATAGAATTCTGGTCAATAGTTAAATACAGGCACTACATGGAATAATAGTTAAAAGTGATGTGTAGATTTAAACTCATTTTCAAAGAGTGTATATTAAAGAGTCCTCAACAAAGTGATATAATGTTAATAACTTGGCTAAGAGATGGAGGAGATATTGGTTATTCTAAATTTGCAGATGGTACAAAATATTAATATCCTCCTCTCCCACCTCCCACAACGAAAGTCCTGCTATGAGTGGCCCTGCAGGTCATTTAGTGTTTAAGATGCTACAGAGGAAGAGCTGAGGATCTTTCAGAAGAGTGTTTATGTAATGGCTAGATTAAAGCTTTCAAGATATCTACTTGTTGGTGCTGTGAAGCAGGAAAAGAAAACCCAAAGGGTCAAGACTGAATTTCAGTACAAACATGGAGTATAAGCTCAATGTATTGAAAAAATGAATTGACTACACATTGAGGGAAGTATGCAGTGGGTAAGTGGGGTAAAACTCTGTCTTAGGTCCAGTACTCTTCAATATCGTCGTCAATGATTTAGATGAGGAACAGAACGGGAACTCATCAGATTTGCAGGTAACACCAAGCAGGTAGGAATTGTCAATACTCCAGAAGATACGTAATCTCAAGATACAGAAGAATCTTGACAGACATGAACACTGCCCTATCTAACACAATGAAATTCGATGGTGAGAAAAGTTTACATTTAGGCAAGAAAAACCAAATGCATAGGTATAGAATAAGTGGTACCTGGCTCAATAGTAGGAACAGTGAGAGGGATCTTGGCATCCTAATGACAATCACTTAAATATAAGTTGCAGTGTGCTGCAGCTGCCAAAAAAGCCAGGATAGTCCTAGACTGCATTAACCGAGGTCTAGAATCAAGATTACAATGCCTTGGTAAGACCACACTTGGAATTTTGCACCCACTTTTGGTCACCATGATATAAAAAGATGTAGAGACTCTATAAAAGGTGCAGAGAAAAGCAAAAAGATGGTTGTGGGACTAAAGACTAAAACATGAAAAACAGTTGCAGGAACTGGATATGTCTAGTTTAACAAAGAGAATGACTAGGGGTGACATGGTAGCAATATTCTAATATTTGAGGGGCTGCCACAAAGAAGAAGGAGTCAGCTTGTTCTACACAGCATTTGAAGAGAAGAAGCAATGAAATGGAAACTAATTAAGGAGAGAACCAACCTAGAGCTAAGGAGAAATTTCCTGACAGTTAGAACAATTAAACAATGGGATGACTTATCTCCAGAAATTGTGGGAGCTCTTACACTGGAGGTTTTTAAGAAAAGATTAGACAACTATTTGTC